TAGTACTTCCCTCGCTGCATGTCATTTATGTTTTTTTTCTCATTACATTTTTGTAGCGGAGCATTTAAACAACATTTTGCGACGACGTCATCGACATTTTTGCAAGGACACGTTTATCAGTTTGAATAGATGTAGTGTGATACTAAAAAAAAAAATTGGACTAGGCGACTGAAATTTATGCGTTGCGTATGGACCACGCCAGACCAGTGGCTCGCAACCGATGTTAATTTACGCATCGCGAAGAAAATAATAAAACTAACTAATTTTCAAGTGTCGGTCTCACTGAAAACAAAACTATTTCTGTAAATTATTAAAAATGATGCACAATTGGAGAGCGAGAAGCGAGTAAGGCAAGGATGCACAGGGCGCACTTCAGACGGGTAGATAGCATGAATAAATTTCGACCGCCCAGCTTTATTTATAAACAATGACGTCATAACAAAACGCATTTGTGCGTGAGGACTTCAAAACTTTTTTATATCGGTAACTATGATACAATTTGGAGTCATTTGACACATTTTTTTTATGCTTATTTGCTTTTTTTTCAATTTTATGCATATTAAAACTTATATGCTTATTTAATGCTTTTTTCGACGAATATGAGTTTTAATGCATATTTTGTTCAAATGCCGGCCTTGTCGGGATGACAAATACTTGTTAGTTAGCCGTATCGTGTCGTATGCATTTTACCTGGACTTGACCATTGAAGTACACTTACTCAAGACCCTTTCTGTGAATAAGTTCCGGTCGTTTGGGTAATAAAATTTTATTATAGGATTGGAAAAATACTCCATAGATTTTATGACTTTAAATCCTTACTTCCGTTGATAATGAATTAAAGCTTTTAACCAGATGTTCTTTTTAGGCATTTTGTGGCAAGACCGTTGAAGATTTTCTAGAAAAAAGGATTATTGTACCCAACTACCTACTTTAAAATTTTTCTAATGGAAACTTTTAAGTAAATGAACCGTTTATTTCACAACCATCAGACTATCGCATCTGTCGTAGTCCAGTGTTATACGTAGTTCTCCCTTGTTACATGTTGAGTTCTTTTTGGTAATATTACTAATATTTTAAAAGAATGCCGAAAGTAAAATCGACGCCGGATGAGTGGATAAGGGATTTTCCAGAATTAAAATTAGAAAACAACAAAATATTCTGCAGAGTTTGTGTGAAAACCGTAAGCCCACTAATTTTTTTTTTATCTATTTTCCTTTGTTAATCCTGTATATGTACGTTGTTTTAGATTCAAAGTGATAAAAAATATAACGTGACGCAACATGTCAGAACGACTCTTCATGTAGAAAGGAAGAAAATGTTTGAAGTTTCTAAAATTAAACAGCAAACCATAAATGAATCTGTTGCATCTACTTCCACAAAAGATGAGCAGTTTCAGTTTAATTTCGATTTATATAAAATGATGATCCAGTCCAATATACCTTTAAAAAAATTGGAGAAAGGCCCTCTTCAAGAATTCCTTGAAAAACACTACAATCGACATATTCCGGTTGAAAGTACTCTCCGAAAAAATTATGTAGGCCCAGTGTTTCAGCAAGTTTACAACGAAATTAAACATCGCATTAGATATAATTATTTATGGTTCGCTGTCGATGAAACAACCGATAGTTGTGGAAGATACATTGCAAGTTTAATTGTTGGAATCTTAAATGAAAATTTCCCTAGTCGAGGGTATGTAGTAGGTTTGAAAATGTTAGATAAAACAAATGGCAATACGATTACCAGATTTGTAAATGACAGTTTTACGTCACTATTTTTGCCAATAAAATTTTATTGATGATCTCGGATGCAGCTCGTTATATGTTGAAAGCATTGAATAATCTAAAATTATTGTACCCCAATTTAATTCACTCTACTTGCATTGCCCACGGTTTAAACAGAGTGGCTGAAGGAATACGTTTGCAGTTTCCTACTGTTAATAAATTAGTGGCAAATGGTAAAAAGATTTTTGTTAAAGCCCCACTAAGGGTGCAACATTTTAAGGAAAAATTTCCAAACATACCATTGCCCCCAGAGCCGATTATAACGAGGTGGGGAACATGGTTACAGGCCACATTTTATTATGACAAATATATCAAAGAATTTAAGGAAGTAGTTACGGAGCTTAGCGAAGATTCTTCTCAATCGATTAAAGATTGCATAAATATTTTGGAAAACAAAGATTTGCGACAAGATCTAGCTTTTCCAAGAAGCAATTATCAATTCGTATGTGAGGTAATAGAAAAGTTAGAAAAACCCAACATGTTGTTGGTAGATGCCATAAACTTAGTGAAAGAATTTAAACAACAAGCAAACGCAATAAGGGGTGATATTGGTACTAGAGTATCTCAAAAACTTGACGAAGTGTTAAATAAAAATGCAGGTTTCGGTGTTCTTTCCGACGTTGCTCGTGTTTTACAAGGCCAGAAGGTGGAAAATTTGGAGTTAGATTCAACATTAGTTGCAAAATTCAAATTTGCGCCAACAATGAGTGTGGATGTTGAACGCACATTCTCCAATTTTAAACGCATTTTAAATGATCGGCGAAAAAATTTTATAGTGGACAACTTGGAACATATTACAATCATAAATTGTTTTAAAGAAAACTGAAATACGTGTGTAAAATATAAAGTCTAGGATTATTGTAATAATATTTTATCCAAAGTTCTAAGAAGTGTTTTTTGATTTGTAATATGATTATGTTTTTAATGTTTTTTGCTTAAAATAAAACTTTTTTATTGAAAATGTTGTGCTTATTTAAGCGCTTATTCTTAATTTTTTTGTGCTTATAAATCCGCTCTCTAGTTATGAGTAAAAAAAAAATATATTTACAGCACATTATCAACGGGAATACACTACATCGGAAGAATGTCACGTAGACATTTGTGTGATTTGAAGGAATCTATCGCCCCAAAACAGATGACTAAAATTATTCATAAGCCTCCATTGAACAAAATATTCTGAATGTTATTATTATAATCCTTACCTTATCATTATTTTATTGTTATAAAAACGAGCGTATTCTCACATTTTCCAGAAAATGGGGCGGCTCGTTCCTAATTTCATCACTGTTTTAGGGGGATGAGCAAATATATTTTGATCAAAAATTTACCATTCTTATGATAACTTTAGAACATCCCCAAGATTTCAAAGCATTTGGTTTTGTAGTACCTGATTAAATCAATAAAATAAATTTAGGCATTCATTAATTTTTTTGAGTCATTCTGTATATGCAAATCCAAAAAATATGAATGGAATAATAAATTACAAGTACAGACTCATCATATTTTCTACATGTTGATAGGATTTATTCGGCAAACTTTTGAGGTGACGTCATCAATTTTTTGGAGGGGACAAGTAAATATATTTTGAATAAAAACTTATTATGCTTATCATAACTGTAAACCATCTGCAAGATGTCAAATCATTCGGTTTTGCAGATTCCAAATTAAATGTCAAAATGTTGTTTCCTAATTTTGTTTTTTTTTTCCCAAAAATCTGGACATTTCGGGTAAAATCTCAATTCGGAGTAATAAACTACATGTTTAAGACTATGTTATTTGATACAATTTAAAACCCATTTACTATGTACAATTTTGAAGTGACGTCATCACATTAGTGTTGGGGATGATTAGACAAATTTTGGTTAGCTTTTACCATCTACATGATATATCTAATACAAATACAAAATTTGACAACAATTGGCCCATTACTTTCGGAGATTATCTATCTAATAAAAATCCGGGACGGCAGACAGACGGACAGACAGACGGAAACGGGAGACCTATTTCTTCGTCCTCTAGGTCGAGAAAATGCAATCCATTTTTATTAGACAAGTAATCTCCGAAACTGGTGGACCGATTATTGTCAAATTTTGTATGTATATTAGAAATATCATGTAGATGGTTAAATGCTACCAAACTGAATTATCATTGAAATTTGACAGATCAACTTCTGTTTCATAGTGAACTCGATAAAAGCGCTAATAGATTTTAATTGCTTAGTAAAGTTGAGGCAATTGTAGATAGGGGAAATTTTACAAGTGTTTTTTTTATTACCTGATGGTGTGAAAATGTGTGCTAACTCAATTAAAAAAAATACAGATAAGTCATTTTCGCTTAGTGCGGCAGAATTAAGCGCTCTACTATTTGATAACGATCTTTGAGTAATCCCCAAACAGTGTCGTAACATTGAGCGGATATGGATAAATTGTCAATAATTCGCCTTGGTTCGTTCCCAAGGCAGGAACCCAAATAATGGAATTTTTGGATTGTTAGTCGTAGTAACGATTTTCATATTCAACTTGCTCATTTTCGACTGGCTCTTAACACTTTCTAGCATACATTGAAGATGATTCCAAATTATTAAACAAAAACTATCATACAATTCCATGATTGTTTCTGGAGATTTTAATGTAAGATTTGATAAAGGTGAGGGTCTTGAATTACTACAGTTTTTCAAAGACGACTGATGTTGGACACAGTAAGTAGTTTGACTGTTCCAACGACTAAATTAGGTGCAACAATTGATGCCGTTTTCACACGTTTTATTACTCATTTAAGAACTGATTTTTATATCACTCATTTTAATCACCGTATTATATGATATCGATAAAGATAGGTACCGAAGGCTAGCTATACCTACTCTAGTATTTGTAAATATTTACTTGTTACTTTAGTTGATAAATTACACATCGTACTTTATTTTTTTTTTATACAATATTATAATAATAACAATTGACAATACATGGATATTTACTTTAATTAACCCGATCATCGTCATTCATCATCATTTTGTCAAAAATACAAATGCAACATATTTTTGGTTTTTATTATTTTTTAAGAGAAAATTGACAACGCAGAGTTAAAACTCCACACTGCTTATTTATTTAAGGAATTTGGTGAATATATTAATGACATTGTTAATGTAAATAATCGGAATTCTCTTTCATTGTTCAAAAACTACTGATTTCTTCACGGCTCTAAATAAAATAAAACACGAGATAATTTTGTAAATTTTTATTACAAAAAAAAAAAAACATGAAAAGCACTCTTTAAATTTGTTTGGAGAAACAATCCCTGCAGGAAATGTTCCAATAGATTCCGGCCAGCACCACTATTACAGCCAAGGCAATGTACCATATTATCTTTCCTGTGTCTGTATTTGTTACATCCTCTAAAACAACTATGCCGACTAAGAAACCTGCCAAAGCCCCAAAAAAGTGAGCAACGTGTGCGGTCTCTTTGAACCAATCCTGTATGATGTACATGACAAAACCAACGACTAGAACAATAACAGAAAACAACATTGCGAGTTGTGTTTTTGAAAGGCACTTTTCTTTCCAATTCTAGAAAAGTGTTGTATTTGTATTGTAAAAAGTTAGATTTTGAGTTTACCATGATTACTGCAGGGATGCAGGCAGTGAAAATTGAGAAGGCACCGCCGCTGCCCCCCACCACTGAGCGGGTGGGATTTATAATGGAAGTACCCAGGGAACCAGCAACCACTCCTGCGAAATAAATAACGAAAACCCGCCACCAGCCCTGGTTCTTTTCAAGTAAGTTGCCGATGATGATTTGGAAGACCAAATTTTCAAAGAGATGTGCATAACTTTGGGAAAAAACATAAATTTTCAACGATTTTGTAATAATTAAATGCTCACCCTGTATGCACGAACATGTACGTCAAGTACCTCCAAAACTCGTATGTCTTCATCGGGTCATAAGTAAACAGCTCGGCTATGGGTCCCGTCGTAGAATTCGTGGAATCGACCTTTTTAATTATTTCATCACTCAAGAAAAAAATTAATTGGATACAAGAAATAATAATTATTATTCCTAATTTAGGAGGCCACCACGATTTCCAGATAAATGAAAAGATAAATTTCAAAATTAGTATAGTTTCTGAGTCTGCTCTCACAAGGTTGAAAAATGGGTTGAAAACACACATCTCGTCTTATAACTTGTCACAAAACTCATAATTAAGGTGCAATTACAAAATGTAATGTGTAGTGCCGGGTGAAATTACTTATCCCCTCCAAACATGCGCACAAAATTTGAAAATCCCGCGAAAAATTCGAAAAGTGACCATGAACTGTAATCGGCACCAAATGTAGGATCCTGCGTTGTGTTTTGAAATGGCGGAATGCGGAGCGGGAAGAGTGCAGGAAGTCAAAGTCACCGCTGAAAATTCCCTGAACTTTTTTCGTTAGGTTATGTTTTATTGAATTAAAGGTTAAAAAATATGCCAGAAATATAAACATTGTTGCCGATACTTTCAGTTTTCAGTAGCAATGACCAAGTTAACGGTATCCATTTCTTAGAAAGCATAAAACTATGTATACGCTATTTAAAATAATTATTCGGCATTTTGTAAGTGTTTATTTCATATGTAAGGAACAAACACTAAAATTTCACTTAAACATTGTTTTTATGTGAATGGGGGTTCTACATACGACTATTGTCGCATGCCACATTTAGCATCTCATCTTTAATTCTCAATCATCAGTTCGTTCTGGTCGCCCACTTTTCTTAGAAATGGAAATTTCGATCTTTGTGAACAGCCTATTTCCAAATCTTCCAACTTCTTTTTTCACTTTTCTAAGATTACTAAAAGGGTTGGTAAAAGACAACAACCTTGCTCTAGTGCTTTGATGGGTTTAGCTCTTCTGAAACATTTTTCCGGCCTTAAATTGAATGATTTATTTATATAGCTATTACTAATGCTTACGTAAGTGCTCTTTATTTGCTTTTACTAAATACTTCCAAACGCTTATTAATAAGAACGTTACTATACGCCTTCTCCAGGTCTATGAAGAGTTACAAAAAAAATGAAAATGCTTAAAATTTGGTGCAAAGTAACAACGTGGATGATCTAACTGAAATTATACTTATTTTGTTGTACGTCAGGTGGTTTTTCATATACTACCTTGGTAAATTTAGAACGAAAGATGCGTAAAAATATCACCCCCCGACAAGCTACAATTCACTCCATTTCCATTATTTCGCCATGAAAATCTGTATCATTTTCAAATTCAGATTCTGAATCAGATTCACCTAGCGAAGTAATGAAAGGAGGTATAGATTCGTACGAAAGATTTCCCATATTTTTTTCCCAATCTGCCAAAATAAGTTTTTCACAATGTTTACAAAAATTTTGCCACATGCTTGGAGTACAGTTACAAAGCGCCTCAAGCCATAAATTCTCCACCCTATTTTTTAATGAAGGTTGAGAATTTATATGCTTGTTGTAATAGTTCTTACAAAATCCCCACGCCATTTCAATTGGATTATATTGACAATGGTGCGGAGGTAATCTAAGAACTTCATGGCCACTTTCTCTTAATCTCTCGTCTACCAAATATCTTTTTTTTTCTATTGTTTCTGAAGGGTTTAATTAAATCCCACAACTGTTTCTTCGAAAATTTTTCGTCAAATTCAACTCTATGTTTAAAGAACCATTCCTGCATTTCACATTTTTTACTAGAAAAAGTGGGTGGTTTATCCAACTGAACCGAATGATACGGTGCATTGTCTAAAACCACCACACATTTTTGGTTCAACTTTGCCAAAGCAGGAATGAGCTGATTAACCACCCAATTTTGAAAAATTGTCCCGTCCATCGTTTTATGATAGTCTCTATCGTTATTTTTTGAATTTAAAAAATTGTTACAACCATCCAAGAACCCCGTTGAACAACCCGCGTGGATAATAGTAAACCTTGATCCTTCACTTTTAATTTTGGTGGGACTGCTTTTTAGATCAGTGTCGTGCACCCAGCGACGAATGGACGAACCATTTTGATAGATCCATGTTTCATCCAAATACACGAAAGTCAAATTTTCACAAGAATTTAGAAACTGTAAATATGTTCTCAAAAAAGTAATTTTGGCTGCAACGACATGTTTTTGTTCACATAGAATTTTGCGACCATTTACTTCGCTGTGTTTATAACCCATTGACTCAAGAATTTTGTATAATGTGCTTCGCGCTCCGTTAAATTCCGACTGTTCCCTAGAATATGCCAAAAGAGTATCAACAGTGAAATATTCGTTTTTTGCATTAAGTTGCCAAATTTGTCGTTGCAGGTCTTTCCGAAACAAAATTTGTAAATAAATCTGTTGGTTTTCGCTTGCCAGATAGTGATGTTTATAAATTTTGGTCCCCTGTTGATAGAATTTTCGCCACAGTTGATGCTCCCACCTATGAGAAAAAAAATTAAAAAATATTTTACAGCGTATTTTTACATTACAGAAAATATGTTCGAGATTACGATGCGACAAACGTCTGATGGAGATCTTCTACAGCGGGGCCCCGGGTCGTGGTGATTTCCACCCCAAACTGCCTTCTGGGTGGTTCGCACCGGGTACCTGTCCAATTCTGTCCAGTTCGACTAAACGCCCAGCGTTCTTACCGCCCCAAACGTTCCTCCTTCCGAGAGGGAAGAAGTGATTCTCGGCCCCACGGAAGACGGCAGCGGTGGTTTGCGGCTCCAACGGCAAAACCAGGGTGAAAATAAGATGAATAAAAACTGAAACAATAAAAACAAGTAAAAAAAATAATTGCTAACTTCTTCACCTTCGTCAGTTGGGCGCGCTTTTCTTTAAATTTGAATACAAAGTGGGCCACTACAGTCGCCCCCAAGCGTCTTCAGAGTGTCCTTCTGTACCTGTGTGTAGAAATACAGCGGCAGTATCACTTTGGGTGTCAGTGACATTTTGTTTCCCTGGAGTGTGTGACTTCGTAGTCGAATTCGTTTAGAAGCAAGGACCAACGAGTGAGGCGGTCATTCAATAGTCGACACTGTTTCAGAAATTTGGGAGCATAATGATCGGTGCGGATGCCCTAGAGGAATTTTTCGATAATTCTGCAGTCCGAAGATGATCGCTCGACGGCTGGCTCCCGCTTCCTAGGGTTCTATTTGGCAGTGGCTACCAGAGGTGTGGCCCTTGGCTTCTTTACGCTCCAGGAACCACTAGCGTCAATTTGTCTCTTTTTCCCAACCATGGTCTCTGTTTTCACTGCTACACCAGCACTACCTGTATAGAAATAAAAACAAGTATTTACGCAAAATAAGTTACACTCCTTCACTGCATTGCGCCGACAATTATAGTAGAAACGTTTCTGTTGTATACAATAAAATTTTACAACGTCATTACGAGAGGTTGGCTAAGCTGTTCACTCACTGAGTGTCCCACCGCCTTGGTATGGATAATAAATTGGCCGATTCATTAATTTTTTTGAATCACCTGTTTAAGCAAATCTAAAAAATATGAATGCAATGATTAAAAGTCTGTTCATATTTTGCACATTTGCGAAAGAATTTATTCGGCAAAATTTTGAGATGCCGTAATCAATTTTTTAGGGTTGATAAACAGACACATTTTCATTAAAAAGTTACCATGCTTACAATAACTTCAAAACGTCAAGATTTCAAAGTATTCAGTTTTGCAATTCTTGATTTAATCAATAAAATAAATCGACTCAATCATTAATTTTTTTCACACACCCCGTATAAGGAAATCTAAAAAATATTTATGCAGTGATAAATCACAACTATAGACTCATCATATTTTACACAATGCACATTTAAGAGCGCATTTTTTCGGAAAAGTTTTGAGGTGACGTCATCATTTTTTTGGAGGGGACAAGTAAATAAATTTTGAATAAAAACTTATCATGGTTATCATAACTGTAAACCATCTGCAAGATTTCAAAGCATTCGGTTTTGCAGATTCCAAATTACATGTCAAAATGTTGTTTCCTAATTTTGATTTTTTTTTTTCCAAAAATGTGGACGTTTCGTGTAAAATCTCAATTCGGAGTAATAAACTACACGTTTAAGACTATGTTATTTGATACAATTTAAAACCCATTTACTATGTACAATTTTGAAGTGACGTCATCACCCGTCTACATGATATACCTAATGTAAATACGAAATTTGACAACAATCGGCCCAGTACTTTCGGAGATTGTCTATCTGTCTAATAAAAATCGGGACGGCAGACAGACGGACAATAAGAAAGTGGTCGGTTTCTTGCAGGGAGGTACTTTGTTATTCAATTCATATTGTCCGTCGTGGGGTAATAAGCAGGTGATAATATTTATTATCTTGTCATAAAAACCACTTTAAACTGGAAGTACTTTACTTACATCAGGTTCATTATAGGTAAATGTTTCTTATACCGTAGATACCTTAAAAAAAGTTTCTAATGAAAGGCTCCGCCACACAGTCATTAAAAGATGCCAAAATAAGGCAAAACGCCAACCCATTTTGCGCCTTTATTTTAACAGTTGAAGAGCAGGGCGATACATGTGCGTGCTCATGACATAAAAATCTTTAAGGAAGCGTCTTGTATTTTTTAAAAAACGTAGCAGTTTTTAAAATAAAGAATAAAGTGCGTAAAACCCCAGCGGATTTTTAGCGAAAACTATAACTCGGTGTGCTTTTAAAAAATATCGAGGTGATAGAGAATTTTTTTCTACTTTAGGCGCCATTCTTCGTTTTCTGTTAAAATTTTACTTCTTTTAGTTATTGTAAAAAAACTGCAAAGCATTTTGGGCAAATTTTGGTAAGTTAGGCAACCCAAAATATTAGCTGAGGCGCTAAGCTGTAATTTATGGCCCACACAATAGAGCACCTTTTAAATACCTTAAGCTTATTTGACCACCCTTTGAAGTACCTGACAATAGCATTAAGAAGGATATATATATATATATGTATATATATATATATATATATATATATATATATATATCTTTTAGTTATATGCACTGGACCCTGTTATACCTGATACATACCTATAGTTGTGGTTCGGGCTCAAACTAGGTAATTGTAATAACTGCATTTATTGAACAATAAATTAATGATTTTATTTTTAATAGCTCTTTAATATTTTTACTGCAAGCCGCATATGAACATTTAATCTCTGCAATTGAATTAGAATTTATTAACCCATCTGGAGAAGCTCCTAAAAATTTTTTTCAAATTTGTTAGAGCTTCAAATTTTTCTTTGGCCTTTTCTTCATTGTCAATAGCAAATTGTATAGACTTGGGCAATTTTTTCATAAAGTTTTATCGGAATGCACAATACTTTTAACGGTATTTGCGATGTTAATTCCATCTCTCATTTTGTCCTTTCTTTACTCCATTCCCTACACGTTCGCTCACCACAAGTACCTTTTTCAATAGCATTTACGTTACTCTGTGACAGATTTATTAATAAATCCGATTTTTTTCTTTCATACACTTCGTTTTCGTTTGTTCATCGTTGACGATATTATTTTTACCGGAATCCAGACTTCGGATACGCAATTTTTTAATAGAGGTTTTAGTTTTATTAATCGTTTTTGTTTTTTTCAATTTTTGTTCCACAAACGCCTTCGTATACTAACATTGGCCTCCCCATTTTTTTTTTTTTTTGAATAACGGAATTAAGAACGTACCTTTATTATTATAACTTATTGCCGCAGGAAAGCATCACCCTTGATACGATCCTCGTGCAGAAAAACTTAAAAACTCATTCTTTTTCCTCCCACAAATTTATTAACGACAGAATTGTAGCATTCTACAGCATTGTTCTCAATATCAAAAAGTAAACTAGACGACAAAGTTGCAATTCTATTTAAAACTTGTTTGTAAGGTTCGTATAAAACACCATTTGCGAAAGTAGAAATTAAAATATCATTTGACTGTCCACTTTTATAACAAAAATAACTTGCACATTGTTCGTGATTGCCAAATATATGCTGGAAAAGAAGGAAGAGGCTCATTTTTGCTAAATTTAATAGCACTTATAATAGCTGTTCTAAATTTTAGAATACTATTTTTAAAAACATTTTTAACAGTGATATCTGCTTTCGTTGTTTTAACTATTTCTCTAATTTTGGAACAATAATTACGAAGTATGTGATTCTACATTCAGTTTTTTCTATAAAATAATATGCATCATTTGGTTTTGCAGCCCGAACTTTTTTTAATACGCTACTATCCTCGTCGCCTATAATTCTCCTATAAAGTATCTAAAGTAAATCCCTCTGAAACTTCCATGGACATAGATGTTTGCTCCTAGTTTTTAAAACAGGTATGTGTTGGAATTTCTTTTTTCTGTTTCATATAGATTTTACAGCAACTACAAAGTTTGTTTTTGACTCCTACATAAAGTATTTTTTTAGTTCTGGCACCAATTATACGTCCTACTCCAGACAGGGCATTGTAACGGTAGTATATGGGACGCAATCATTATCTACCTCCCTCGCCTTCACAGCTAATCGGTACTCTTCTTTACCTGCGTTTTGGTTTTACTCTAGCCTCGACTTTACGATATGTCGCCTGGGGTTTTTGAGGGATATCCAGAGCTGAACAAAATTCTGAAATTTGAGAATAACCTATGAGCGTTGATCTAGCTCCACAAATAGCTGCATAATTGACTTTGTATATATGATTTTCAGGTTCAGTACAAAGATTACCAAATATTCCGTATATATGAAATTTGTAGTAGAAAACAATTTTTAAACGATAACAATTTTCATGAGTTATTTCAATATTATCTAAAGTACTGATTGATTTCAGTGTTGTTAATAAGTGGCCTATGTCAACAATTCTACGTCCAGTACTAATTTCTCGACGTGTCATGACCTCTAGAGTTCGAAAAAAGTGGTCTCCCGTTTTCGTATGTCCGTCTGTCTGTCTGTCTGTCTGGTGTCTGTATCCATTTTTTATTAGACAAGTGTTCTCCGAAACTACTGGATCGATTATTGCCATATTTTGTATGTATATTAGAAATGTCATGTAGATGGTTAAACGGAAACTAAAATTTGGCAAATCATCTCCACCACCAATGGGATGACGTCATCTCCAAAATTTATAATACAAAGTTTTTTAAATTTGATAAAAATTAGATACTCCTGCACTTGTGGTGTGTAAATCCGTGTAGAATTTTCACCCTAGACATCTAGAATTTTTGGACAAAATTTTAACATATCCGGGTTCTCATAAAAAAAAAAATAAAATTCGCATAATCAAATTTTATAATTTTTCGAAAAAACTGGGTTTGTTTTATTGTATTTCAGAGGCGAGAGAAGTTCTGTTGAAATAACCTTCCACCAATTTGCTTCATTCAAAATACATTTCGAGAGGTAACTAGGTATATGTAAAGTGAACCAAGAGCTATAAGGTTATATGGCCATCATAAAAGTAGTTGACCGCCAATAAATATCCCCTTTGTGTGGTTCGGACTAAGCTTACCGGTTGGCAATAAATCACCTTCTGAACATTTCTTGCTCATATTTAACAGGGCCGGCTTTCAAAGCGAGTGGTTATTTCGGAACCCTCAGCGGCTGCAGGTAGTAAAGAAATAGTGGAGTGGTGGATTTTCATATTTAGTGAAAGCCGCCCCTGAACGAAACCACAAGAGCCGGTCGAGCCGCAGTGGACACGTTATTTACTACCCTAAAACCTTTTCTATTGTAAACAACTTAACTTCGACACAATGGGATGATTTTATGATGGCCATATAACCTTATAGCTCTTGGTTATATATATATTTTCTGAAACGTTTAAAAAATGGGCAACAATTAACGAGATCTTGGTTGTCCTATTCGAAAAGCAAAGGATGTGTTTTCTGTTTAGTGTGCAAATTATTCTCCAGAACACAAACATCTTTAATGAGTGGTTATTCAGATTGGGCAAACCGAGTTCGTACTTTGGACAGTCATGAAGAAACTCAGGATCACAAAAAGGCGCTGTTAACCTGGTTATCCCGCAAAGAAAACAAAAACGTTGTTGACAGGCATCTTCAGGAAAAAATAAAAAATGACTGGATATTATTACAATGTCCTGATGCGAGTTGTGGCAGTTATTAAATTTTTAAGTGAAAGAGGATTGTCATTTAGAGGACATGATGAAAAATGGGGTTCATCACATAATGTGGAACTTATTGCGGAATTTGATCCTTTTTTGAAACAACATATAGTGAAATGCTAAACCGAACAACTAGTTGCAAGTTATTTGTCTAAAACGGTTTATGAAAAGATAATCGACATAATGGCAACTCAAGTAAAAAAAAAAATTATTCAGGACATAAACGATGCAGATTCTTGATTGAGCAGCGAGCGAGTGCACATTATTAGCAACAGCTAAAGCTAAAGTCATAGTTAACAGTGACTTTCAGGGGGTAACAAATGTGATTACGTGATAGTAAAAGCAGCACAAGAGAATATTTCGTAAAAAAAAAACGCGAGTGCAACTCGTGAGACAAGAAAAACAACAAGGTTATGTCGAATCAGAAAAGGATTGAGAGTGATAAGATTGGTGACGTTTTTGCGACCTGGCGAGAAAGAGCTGATAGTGAGGGACGCGACAGCAGAGGCGTACGCCGCACGAGAGAAGACGACTCGCCGCGCAAAGAGCCAGCAAAAACATTGAAAATGGAAG